TAATTTCAATATTATTATTGCTGAAGAATAAAAGAAATATGATCAGCTTTTTTGAAAACTTTATTATTTCAAGCTGTCATGATATAATTTTCTGAAGAACTTTAAAGCCAAATCTATTTATATGTAAGCTTTATTTGTTTCACTCTTTACTTCAGCATGAGTTTTTGTATGAGTTTTCAACATATTCTTTGTAGAAAAGGATTTTCCACACAATTCACAAGGAAATGGAGTCCCTCTCAAATGAATTTTCATATGATTTTTCAGACTTATATTGTGAGAAAAAGCTCTGCCACACTCTTTACAAGAATATGGAGTTTCTCCAGTATGAGTTCTCATGTGAATTTTTAAGGTACACTTTTGAGAAAAAGCTTTGCCACACTCTGCACAAGGAAATGGAGTCTCTCCAGTATGAGTTCTCCTGTGTCTTTCCAAATTACCTTTTTGTGTGAAAGACTTGCTACATATTTCACAAGGAAATAGAGTTTTCGGGGTTTGAACATCCAAACTTGACTTTTCAGAAAAATAATTGTTATCTATTTCATGAAAAAGGGAAAGTTCTGCTATGTGAATTTTCATGTGATTTTTTAAACTAATTCTATGAGCAAAAGCTTTACCACACAGCTCACAAGAAAATGGAGTTTCTCCAGTATGAATTCGCATATGAGTTTTTAGACTTACATTATGAGAAAATGCTTTACCACACACTTCACAATGAAATGGAGTTTCTCCTGTGTGAGTTCTCATATGAATTTTTAAGGTACCCTTTTGAGAAAAAGCTTTTCCACACTCCTCACAAGAAAATGGAGTTTCTCCTGTATGAGTTCTAACATGCCTTTCCAAGTTACCCTTCTGAGAAAAAGCCTTGCCACACATTTCACAAGAAAATTGTGTATCTCTAGAATGAGTTTCCATGTGAACTTTTAATGTTCCTTTTGTAGAGAAAGTTTTGCCACACATTCCACAGGAAAATGAAATGTCTCCTGTATGTATCCGCATGTGTGCATTTAAGTTACTCTTTTGAGAAAAAGTTTTATCACATATATTACAAGGAAAGCGAACCTTTCTACTATGACTTTTTAAATGAGCCTTTAAAGTACTTCTTCGAGAAAAGGTTTTATTACACCATCTACAATTGAATTTACTCAATTCTGTATGAGTTTGCTTGTGATTTTTCAAGTCCAACTTTGATGGACAAGATTTCTTACATATTTCACAGGTATAAGTAGTGTCTCTAGTATGAATTTTCATATGATATTTGAGGCTTACATAATGAGAAAAAGCTTTTCCACACACTTGACAAGAAAATGGTGTCTCTCCAGTATGAGTTCTCATATGAGTTTGTAATGTAACTTTCTGGGAAAAAGCTTTCCCACACTCTTGACAAGGAAAAGGAGTTTCTCCAGTGTGTGTTCTCCTGTGTCTCTCTAAATTACCCTTCTGAGAAAAAGCCTTGCCACACATATCACAAGGAAACATGGTATCTCTGGTATGAGTGTCAATATGAACTTTTAATGTTCTTTTTGTAGAAAATGCCTTGCCACATATTTCACAAGAAAAGGGAATCTCACCTGTATGTATTCGCATATGTGTGTTTAGGTTACTCTTTTGTGAAAAAGCTTTACCACATAAATTACATGGAAATGGAGTTTCTCCAGTATGACTCCTCAAATGAATTCTTAATGTTGCTCTTTGAGAAAAAGCTTTATTGCACAACTTACAGTTAAATTTAGTTGATCCTGTATGAGTTTGCTTGTGACTTTTCAAATCATACTTTGTGGGAAAAGACATGTTGCATATTTTGCAAGAATAAATAGCATCCCTAGTATGAATTTTCATATGATATTTGAGGCTTACATAGTGTGAAAATGCCCTGCCACACACTTGACAAGAGAATGGTGTCTCTCCTGTGTGTGTTCTCATATGAGTTTGTAATGTAACTTTCTGGGAAAAAGCTTTTCCACACTCTTGACAAGGATAAGGGGTTTCACCAGTATGAGTTCTCCTGTGTCTCTCCAAATTACCTTTTTGAGAAAAGGTTTTGCCACACATATCACAAGGAAATGTTTTACCAGAATGTGTTTCCAAGTGAATTTTTAGGGTACCTTTCTTAGAAAAGGCTTTGTTGCAAATTTGACAAATAAATAACACCTCTCCTGTTTGACTTATTGAATGAATTTCCATGTTTCTTTTCTCTGAGAAATACATATGGCAAATTTTCAGGATTTAGTCTTTAATTTTTAACAAAGTCACTGAAGGAAGCAACTTTTTAAACAACATCACATTGAAGTTTCTTTTTGTTACAGACTTCATCATTTTCTTTATGGATTTTTTTCCAAAATGTATTGGGTTTTTTTCAGCAAATCCTCATCACCTGAAAGAAAAAAAAAAAAGTGATATTTCTCTTCTAAATTTAAATCATACATAAGAAATTTGATACTGTAAAGCAGGGATTTTTTGCATCATCACCCATATAAATATTTTCCACTGCCCACCTGTATAG